CGGTGGAGTTCCACTTCAACTAACTCCGCGAAGTTGATGCCAGCCTTGTCGCCCGCGCACGGAAGGCCCATGCCGGCGCCATTTGCCATTTGCCAGGCACGGTTTAGGAAGAGGGGTGTGTTGACATATTGATTACTTATCAAGCGTACATCATTTGTTCGCGCGAAGAGCCTGGGCCCCAGACGGCTGCGGCGACACGCTCGCTGACCGAGTCGTGGGACCCGTTCGAATAGCCGTCTTTTCCATCGCATGTTGCAATGATGCGCCCGCTGCTGGACGATAGATTCCGCAATGCTAGCGACATCCCGTCTGTGTTGTCAAATACCCAGCTGTACGACCGTCGGATAAGCTCACGGAGGAAGCTGCTGTACATTTCCCCCACTTTCCAGGGCATAGCCGGCGCAGCCGTGGATAATCATCAGACAAATGTTGATTTGGTTTTGTGTGTCTCGAGGGTACAGAAACGAGACATGCATTTTTGTGAAACAGAGTACCGTGAACGGACGGCTTTCGAAATATTCGGCTCGTCAAACACATTCTTCAGCTTCTTTGGCATTGAATCGAACACCTCGAACAAGTGCCTCTCGTGCACCCAGTCAACCGCGTTGTAGCAAGGCTTTCCAAATATTCGTCCACTAAGAAACGCAACGATTAATTCGTCTATGAAGCACTAACCTCCATGCTTCTCGGTTGGGACGGCCACAACTGCCGTGGCTTTCAGCCACTTGATTGCGAAATTGTTGTCGCTTCGCGAATCCCCACCAGCCCATCCAGAAACGATGCCCAGAGGAATTGCCTCGATCAGAGAAGTGGGCAGCACACAGAGGAAGCCATTATGAGACATCTTGGGATATCTTGAGCCATCTTGGAGGTCATTTTGGGCTCTCCCAGACGCTCTTGGAGTCATCTTAATCCGTGCCCCCCCCCAAGAGGCCTCCATGTGGCTAAAACCTGTGTAGAATCAATGATTAGGCATTCTCGCCGAGGCCTCTTGGAGCATCTTGGGTGCATCTGGGGGGGCTCTTGGGGCCTCTTGGGGGTCTCTTGGGGGCCTCCGGGGGGCCTCTTGGGGGCCTCTTGGGGCCATTTTGGGGCCATCTTGGGACCTCTTGGGGCTTCCTGGGCGCTTCTTGGGGCCATCTTGGAGGAGATCGATCAAACAAGAGGGGGGGTTTAATTAGCGTCCCCCCTCGGAAGCCCCTAAAATCGCCTCTTGGACCCCTCTTGGAACGCTCTTGGAGTGCTCTTGGGCGCTCTTGGGGCCGTCTTGGGGCTCTTTTGGGGCTCTCTTGGGGCCCTCTTGGGCCATCTTGGAACCATCTCCAGGCCTCGGATGGCCATCGGAAGCGAAAAGGCGAGAAAGCAAAAATCATTGATTTTCCTTAGGTTTTGGGACGATTTTGGCCTCTTCGGGGCCTCCTTGGGGAGCTGTTTGGCCACTTGGAGTTATCTTGGGGCCGTCTTTGGGCTTCTTGGAACCATCTTAGGAGCCATCTCGAGCGATCTTGCGCTATCTTGAGCCATCTTGGAGCTCATCTTGGGTTCTCTGAGGCGCTCTTGGAGCCGTCTTGGGCCATCTGGGACGCTCTAACTACCCGCGGCCCCCCCCGTCCAGGTCCAGGGGAGGGGGTAGGGGGAGGGGTAAACCCCTCCCCAAGGGGGAAGAGGGAGGGGTGGAAGAGGATCTGCTCTAGACCACCTACGCCCAGAGGGCTGGTGGGATTAATGTACGGAGGAACGTTGTTGAAATATTTTGGAGTTCCGCGGCATCGGCTGACCACTCTTTCACATAGGGAAGATGACATAATATGACTGCCATGCCATAACACGCGGAGCACTGTTCAATTCAGATGGGATATATGTGTTTGGATAACCACAGGCTGCAGATTTTGATACACGTTTATTCCACCATGTTTGTGGCTCATGGTGGTGTCTGAAATGCCACCTCCACTTCGTCTCATTGGAAGGATATGCTAGGGCTCGTGAAATGAGGGCCCGCTTGGGCTCCGATTTTTTTCTGCGAAGATGCATTTGCTTCAACAGCGCACTATACTCCAGAAGTTTTGTACGTATTGCATCGTCCGTTCCCTTCAAGAGCTCGCTGACTCGCATTTCTTTCCTCCGCCTCTGCCACGTTTCCCGCCTTTCCCTGTTTCGTTCCATGTTTGTGCCTTCGCCTTTGCACTTGGAAACCTGCGTGCTCTTGCCCTTACCGACGCCCTTGAACTCGCCTGTCGATTTGCCACCCTTGGGCTTCCACTTCTTGTATTTCCGTTGCAGGCGCGGCTTGCTTGCACGCCTATTGATGCCATTTTCTGCAGACGATGATCGATCTTTGCCGTATTGTTTGGCCCCCCATCGTTGGGCGGTCCGTTTCCCGCCAGTTGGGCCAGATCCGTTGTTTTGGGTACGAGTCTTTCGTTCTGCGAGCCACTTCTTCGAGAATCTTCGTACTTTGATTGGCTTCGTTGTTCCAGCGCGCTGAGCTGCTAGATCCTTGCGCTCGGCCTGGCCGAAATTGTCGTCGACCCCTGACTGAAATTTGATCTACTCAAAACTACTTTCGCCTCCTCCTGGGGAAGCACCTTTACTGCCCAATCCTTTGCCTTTTTTCCAACCATCCTGTGGTGTTGGGTCCTCGTTTTGAAGAGACAGCGCCCCGCGTTCCCACCTTCCTCCCGCTGCCCCCCTCCCTCCTCCCCCTTCTCCCTCCTCCCTGTGTTTCACCCACCGAGTACAGCGTTTCGTGGCCCCATAGGGTGCTCCGCCGAAGGCCCCAGTGGCAGGGTCCGCATGCAGTTCCACCTCCATTTCGGCGCACCTCTCACACGTTTCGTGGCCCCATAGGGTGCTCCACCCAGGCCCCAGTGGCAGGGTCCGCATGCAGTTCCACTTCCATTTCGGCGCACCTCTCACACGTTTCGTGGCCCCATAGGGAGCTCCACCGAAGGCCCCAGTGGCAGGGTCCGCATGCAGTTCCACCTCCATTTCGGCGCACCTCTCACACGTTTCGTGGCCCCATAGGGAGCTCCACCGAAGGCCCCAGTGGCAGGGTCCGCATGCAGTTCCATTTTCATTTCGGCGCACCTCTCACACGTTTCGTGGCCCCATAGGGAGCTCCACCGAAGGCCCCAGTGGCAGGGTCCGCATGCAGTTCCACCTCCATTTCGGCGCACCTCTCACACGCTTCGTGGCCCCATAGGGAGCTCCACCGAAGGCCCCAGTGGCAGGGTCCGCATGCAGTTCCACCTCCATTTCGGCGCACCTCTCACACGTTTCGTGGCCCCATAGGGAGCTCCACCGAAGGCCCCAGTGGCAGGGTCCGCATGTAGTTCCACCCCCATTTCGGCGCACCCCTCACACGTTTCGTGGCCCCATAGGGTGCTCCGCAGAAGGCCCCAGCGGTAGGGTTCGCATGCAGTTCCATTTTCATTTCGGCACACCCCTCACACGTTTCGTGGCCCCATAGCGACCTCCACCGAAGGCCCCAGTGGCAGGGTCCGCATGCAGTTCCACCCCAACCCTTGCACGTTCCGCGGCCCCATAGGGTGCTCCACCGGCGGCCCTGGTGGCAGCGTCCGGATGGCGTACCCGTGCCAATTTTGGCACACCCCGTCATACGCGTCGCGACCCCAGAGAGGTTCACCGAGGTCGATGCCCACAACTGCGTCACTCATAACTGCACATGGTTGGGTCCCTCGCCAGGATAATTTTACCACCACTCCCAGACATAATTTGATTTGCAGCCTGTCGTGACCGTTCCCCTGGGTCCATATTGGTTGCTGCCTCTGCAATCCGTTCTCTCGCGTGATTTCCTTATCTGTTCGTTGCTCTTCCGATTGTCTTTGATGGTGCATTTGAATCAGCATATTTCTGGAGGAATCGGTTGCCCAAGTTTGGTTTGTTTTCCCAGCTGGAAGTAAGCTTGGCGGGACATCCAACCCAAGCTGATGTATACCACAATTGAATTTTGCTAGCGGCTACCTCGCACTATCCCCAAAAAATGGTTACCGCGTTTCTTCTTGCAACTTGTTTCGCAAGTTCTCGTTGAGGTAATGGTCGAGCGTAAGGAAGTGGACCAGGTCACCGATGAAAATCTGCTCCTTGGCCGTCCTCCAGGACGACCTCGCTTTGCTGGTCATGTTACGGACAACCTCATTATCGTTCATAGTTGTGTCCACTTCGGGATTGGCCCACCACATCTTTACACGAGGGAGGCTTGCCAGAACCTGTTCTTGCTTCAGCTCCTCGATTTGATTTTTCAATGTTGCAATCCTGTCTTTTGTTTTCGAGAACCATGCGCCGACCTTGCAAACCCTGTCATAGCGTGCCGCATGTGATTTTTCGTATTCGGGTCGAGCTTGATCTTTTGCGTCTGCTCTACTATTTCGTCGGCAGCACCATCCATAGGCGCATCTGATTCCCCGTCGGGGGCCTCGCTTCCTTGTAAAGCAAGGATTTGGTTACCTGGGGCCTCCAAGAACCCGAACAAGAAACTTGAACCCTCATGGGCAGCGGCGAGCAGAGAAGAGGCAGGAGGCAGGAGAGAAGCACGGGCGCCCCCAGCCCGTCCAAGCCACTGAAAACTGAAACGCTCTGCTACGCCCGAACTCTCACATCTTGTACAAACGCCTTCTGCGTTCTTTTCTCATCCCTGCTCGGGGGAGGGAGGATGAGGACTGGGAGGAGGAGGAGGAGGAGGAGGAGGAGGAGGGGGAGGAGGAGGAGGAGGAGGAGGAGGAGGAGGAGGAGAGGAAGGGGAAGCGCCGGGAAGGCAAGGAGGAGGAGGAGGAAGAGGATCGGCCCACCGAGGGAGCGCGGTCGTGGCAGCACGACACGCCGCGGCTTTTGTGACCGAGCCTTCTTATCTACGAGTGCGCGCCCTCTCTGGACGGGAGTTTAGGTGCTGACTTGGGTCCCCCGAGGGCCAGAGTTTGGTCGAGGCATTCGGGGGCTGGCAATAGGAGGACGAAGGGGAAGGGGAGAAGGAGGAGGAGGTGGTGGAGGGCCTCCCCTCTGGGCTCGAGCTTGTGTGGCGCCTGGGGGCCTCCGAGACCTCGCGCCGGGGCCGGCCGCGCGCGTCGCGGCCGGCGCTCGCGGGGGGCGGCGCGATGTGGAGCATTGGGGCGATGGCCGAAGGTTGCCAGGCGCGGGGCAGGAATCTTCCCAGGCATCTGGCGATGTGTCTTTTCTCAAGGGCGGAGAAGGTACCACAGCCCATGGCTCCCCGTGGCTGCGGATAAGAATGAGGGGTCGGCGGGGTCGTCGGCAGTCTGCGAAGCTCTGAAGAAGCCCGCCGCAGGCGCCGATAATTTCGTCAAAGCAACGGGGGTGGGTCGCGAGAGGGTCGCAGGGTGGTCGCGGGGTGGGTCGCGGGGTGGTCGCGGGGTGGGCCGCGGGTGTGTCGCGGGCGGGTCGCGGGCGAGGACGACGACTACAACCCAACAACGCAACGCAACAACTCAACAACAATCCGCACTCGCGGAACCCCACTTCAGCCACGCACCCAGGGACTGAATGACCAGTCGGCCCCCTCACTCTGATCTGTACTGCTGCCCTTGCCTCGTCTTCGCCTTTTTGGTCTTCCTGGGAGGCTCTCGTCGCCACGGCTGGAATCGCCTCGAAGATCTGGTCAGAACGCGCCCCGTGGAGAGGTCTGGCGAGTAGCGGTATTGGTATCCTTTGGTTCCCTTTTTTCCTCTCGCTTCGCGGGGTGCACGTCCGGAGTACGTACAGTTTAGTCGTTGTGGGGCCTGTTGGAGGTTCTTGGGGGCTTCATGGAGGATTCTTGGGGGCCTCTTCGGGGCCTCTTTGGGGCCTCTTGGGGGCGTCCTGGGGCTCCCTTGCGAATCAAGACGGCCCAAGGGTCCTCTTGAGCCCTCTTGGGGGCCCCTTGGACCGTCTTGGGGGCCTCTTTGGGCCGTCTTGGGGCACTTTGGGGCCGTCTTGGGGCCCCCTTGGGTGCTTCTTGGGCCTTTTGGGGGTCATTTTGGAGGCTGCTTGGGCCGTCATGGGTTTGCGAGAGCCAAAAAAGGCGAGAACGGTAAAATCGTTCAGAACCTATCGGAGGATCAATGTTTTTTGCCTCTGGAGGCGCTCTTGTCGGCGTTCGTGGGGCCCTCTTGGGCCGTCTTGGGGGCTTCTTGGGCCATCTTGGGGCTATCTTGGGCCGTCTTGGGGCCGTCTTGGCCCGTTTTTGGGCCATCTTGAGCCATCTTGACGTCGCTGTGGACCCCCAAGAGGCCCGAGGGGCCCAAATCATTAATTTCCCCAGAAAGGTTTGTGTAGGTTTTGAGGCCCAGGAGGGGTCAACCATCATCGGGTCGGTGGATGTGGCGTGGCCTCGGGAGGGGGTTAGGGGGGGAGACATACTAATGCAACACAATACAATATGCAGCAATTGTCCAGTCATTGGATACATCGGATACGTTGCATTATCGCCTCCGTAGACCTGCTTCCGGCAATGCGTCACTTCTAGACGTGGATTGGAGACCTCCGGGGCCGCTCTTGGAGGGCTCCTGGGGGCTTATTGGGGGCCTGTTGGACGCTTCCTGATCCCATTGGTCGCGCCATAGGTTGCACCCTTGGCGGCGGCCGAGAATGAACCCGTCTACCATTGGTTGCGCCGTGGGTTGCGCCCTCGGCGGCGGCTGAGAATAGAACCGCCCGCTATCTGTTGCGCCATAGGTTGCGCCCTCGGCAACAAAGAATAAAACCGCCCCTTAATGGTTTCGCCATGGTTGCGCCCTCGGCGGCTGAAGCATAAAACCGTTGCGTAACGGGTGCGACCAGTCAGTTAGCCGTCAGTCAGTCACTCACTAAATCAGTCAATCTGTCAGTCCGTCAGTCAGTCGGAGCTTACCTCGCGAGAAACAAGTTCGGGATGCGCCCGAAATCAAGGCGGTAGATTGTCGTCGCTTTCGCCTTTCGAAGGCCCTTAGAGCATCGCCAGACGAAGACCCACTATGAAACGTTGTCCCACTGATATGTCGGGGCCTCCAGGGGCCGCGCATTTAAGACGTCGGATGTCTGGGAGGGGGTAGAAAAGGACGATGGGCAGAAGGAGGAGGAGTAGGGGGAGGGGGGAAGGAGGGGGAGGAGCAGGAGGAGGAGGAGGGGAGGAGGAAGAGGGGGAGGAGCAGGAGGAGGAGGAGCAGGAGGAGGAGGAGGAGGAGAGGAGCAGGAGGAGGAGCAGGAGGAGGAGCAGCAGGAGGAACAATTCTAAGCCATCTCAGCCGTCTCGGGGGGGCGCGCTGGACCGCTTTAGCGCCGCGTTGAAACCTTCTCGTCCGCCTCGACGGCAAAATGGGCGCCATCTCGAAATCAAATGCGAGCATCAAGATGGCGAGCGACAACCTCATGATTGTTGGTTCCTTGCGCCCACCTTGTGACCAATTTCCGGCTCGCCGCGCGACGGCCCCTTGGCCGCCCCCCCCACACCACCGTTGCCGCGCGCATGGTGGTCGCATCTGTGCGACGCGTACTCCACGGAAAGCCCCGGCGGCAAGGTCCGCATGGAGGCCCCGCCTCATGTCGGCACGCCGCCCACACGCTTCGTGGCGCCATAGAGAGCGCCGCCGAAGGCTTCACTGAAAAGGTCCGCCCGCATGGCGGCCCCGCAACGTGGAACCGACTCGGAAAAAATGTCTGAGACGTGCTGCAGCCACGCAGCACTGAACACATTCAATGCGTGTCCCACTGCGCGGGTTCGGTCGCGCGCCCAACATAAAGTAGGGCGGAAATCCACGCAAGTAGGGCGGAAACAGCAGCAGGAAAGTCGGGCGGGAATTGGCGTCGACGGAGCTCAGAAAGTAAAGTGGAAATTCTAGGCCCTCCTTGCGCATCTCCCCAAAGTAGGGGGATCCGGAATCAGGGGCCGCGCACTTCACCCCGGAGTTGCAGGCGGGGGCCCAGGGCCTCCTGCCCCAGAACCGCCGCTGCGCGGCGGGTTGGACGCGCCGCGCGCAACTGCGGGCGAGGCGCCCGCCCCCGAAGGCGGCCGCCCCAGCCGCGGCTGGTCGGGCGGCGCGCGCCGGCGAGCCAGCCACGGCGCCGCGGGTGGCCCTCGCGTTCTGCTGCCACCTGAGGCCGATCGAGTGCTTCCGCTTGAAAAGGGGAGGGACCTGGCGCAGCCGTCGCGGGCAGCCGGCCCGCGACGCGCGTCGCGGGGCCTCCCCACACATCCTGACGCAATGTTTTTTTCATGCCGGCCTATTGTCTTGGTTTTTCTGCATTGTCTTGGTTTTTGGTGTAGAACTTGAGATGTATTGGTTTTTCGGTAGAATATTAAAAAGATGATAGCGAACATGTTATGACAAGGTCCAGAATCGTATCCTTTCATGTTGACGGCCACAAACCACATGATCATTGTTTCGTCGCTTCATATTTTCCTCATGTTGAGGCAACCAATGCAAGTGATACGGGTGCAGTTCTACAAAATTCACACTATCGCACGATATGATTAAAGGTATGTGGAGGCGCAACCTACAAGTGCAACGATAGGTTTTCACCATTCAGTTTTTGGGCCGCCCACCCGCGAAATAGGAAACATACGTTGTTTCACCATATTGAGGCCCAGGATGCAGGTGAAACGCTTGGTTTTCACCAGTGACGCGTTTCACACGCGCTTGCGTAATAAGAAAACGCCCACAATTCAACTGAAACAGTTGGAGTTTACCATTTTCGGGGTGACGCGTGTCACCCCTGTGCTTGCGCAAGAAGACTGCGATGCTTCACCATACCGAATCACATGTTGAGGCGTAGAATACAAGTGAAACGGTTGGTTTTCAACATTGAGTTTTCGGAGTGGCATGCCGTCTAACGTGTGTAGCAACATGCAAATGCTCGAGCGGCCACGGTGGTTCCAACGCTGGGCGTTGTGACGCAGCTATACGGCCAGGCGCGCGCGCGCTACACATATCACCACCAAAACTACAGATGTATGAAGTACACATATCGCAGACATGTGCACTATGCACACACACGTATATCTATATGTACATGTATCTACATGTATATCAAATGCATGGCCGATCCATACAAAATAATGGCATGATATTGGATCGTGTTACATCCCAGTACAGTATAATAGACTACTCTATTAAACCATATGATAGTAGCATACCAAATACATAATAGTTTATGATGTCGTACATCATATTGTATTATGTATACACACGTACATACCCTGTACGTGCGCGGGACCGTCGGCTCCCAAGAGGGTCGGCTGGGGCTGCGCGCGGGAGCGTCGGCTCGGGGTCGGCTGGACCTGCGCGCGGGGCCGTCGGTCCCCAGGGGGTCGGCTGGGAGCGCGCGGGGCCGTCGGCTCCCCAGGCAGTCGGTTTCCCAGGGGGTCGGCTGGGACTGCGCGCGAGACAGTCGGTCTCCAGGGGGTCGGCTGGAACTGCGCGCGGGACCGTCGGCTCTGAACGGGGCGGGCGTCTCGGGAGGGGTGTCTTTCCTCCACAGTGGTAGCCAGCAAGAGGTCCAGTCTCGGGCGGGCGTCTCGGGAGGGGTGTCTTGCCTCCACAGAGGTAGCCTGCAAGAGGTCCAGTCTCGGGCGGGCGTCTCGGGAGGGGTGTCTTGCCTCCACAAGGGTAGCCAGTCAGGGGCCCAGTCTCGGGGGGGCGTCTTGGAAGGGGTGTGTTGCCTCCGCAAGGGTAGCCCGTAAGAGGTCCAGTCTCGGGCGGGCGTCTCGGGAGGGGTGGCTTGCCTCCACAAGGGTGGCCAGTCTCGGGGGGCGTCTTGGGAGGGGTTTCGCGTCTCCACAAGGGTAGCCCGTAAGAGGTCCAGTCTCGGGCGGGCGTCTCGGGAGGGGTGTCTTGCCTCCACAGCGGTAGCTTGCGAGGGGTCCAGTCTCGGGCGGGCGTCTTGGGATGGGCCTCTTGTCTCCACAAGGGTAGCCCGTAAGAGGTCCAGTCTCGGGCGGGCGTCTCGGGGGCGTCTTGCTTTTGCAGGGAGTCCAGTCTCGGAACTACGCGCGGGGCCGCCGGTTCGGGGCTCGCGCGCCTCCGAGCTCGCGCGCCTCGCGGCGCCCCTCCCAGACATCCGACGTCTCGAATTTTTCGAAACGCGGGCCCCCGACCCGACCACTTCCCTGGGACCTCTTTCTTCTCAGCCCGAGTCGTTTTTTGGCGGTCCCGCGGCG